ATCTAATAAAAGAGAAGATAGGTTATACTTGGAATAAAGTGGGTCTACATACTTATTTATAGTAGAAAAATCTATGGATTTGAAGCAAAGCTTGGAATATTTGTATAATAGAAGTGCTTGCCTAGAGAAAATGTGACTATATTATGGAAGAATACATCTCTAATATAAGAATGTCTAGATAAGAAGCTACAACGGAAGTGTTACTATATATAGTGAAAGAAATGCAGAATGTATATTTGGAAGAGAAGTGTGACGAGTTACTTATCAATAGCGAAAGTGCGACTACATATTGAACGAGCTGTTAGATATAAACTTCTAGGATTATATCAGTAGTGTTTTATTTCGAGAGGAAGTGTAGCTAGACTCACAAGCATGGCCTATAACGGAACTTTGTCTAGCTACGTACTTGTGTCACTAGGTAAATATATGTGTTAAGGATGAGTGGTATGCAACGTAAATCTACATTAGGACTTTAGCTATATATTTTCCCTACTAACTCACAACGTTGAAGAAAAGAGGTAATTTTGACGAAAGCAAGCACATAATTATGTCCCAAGTAACGAAGCTCCACTTCAATAGTTATTTGATCTACATGTTAGTGCACAAACGCTAAACATATTATCGACATTTGGACGAGTGCCTTTGTTCGCCTTTATTATGTAAATCATGAATGTTGTTGGCAACCACAGCGCAACTTCTTTGTGCTCCTGAAAGGGGCTAGCAGAAAAGATCCGAACAAATTATTGATCTGTTTGCAGACCTGTTACGTCTTGTAGCTTAGGTATCATAGCGAAGGAAAAGCACTGTAATGCACAGAGACTATAATAGGAACTTCCGAAAAGCTGAACTTATAGGAATAAAAATAGCTTAAGTTAAAATATTTTAAGCTGTATTTTAACAAAGCAATAAAAAGTAAGGATGCTTTAACATGTAAGAGAAGTAAAACACAATAAACAATTGTTAGTGCTCCAGCATTAAGAGAGACGATCGATTTGAAAGTGATGAATTAAGTAAACAAACACTGAAAATGAAATAGAATTTATTGTATTTCAGTACTAAGTATGTTACTTAAAAAGAAAAAGAAAAGTACTGAAGAAATAAGTATATGTTTCATTTTTCCCCACATTGTAATACTGAGAGTAGTAGTTTCAGTGTAGCAGATGTGATATTTTATTCGAATGTGTTGTTTAGTATCTATATGCTCCTTAGAATGTGTTGTTTAGTATTTATATGCTCCTTAGAATGTATTGTTTAGTATTTATATGCTCCTTAGAATGTGTTGTTTAGTATTTATATGCTCCTTAGAATGTGTTGTTTAGTATCTATATGCTCCTTAGAATGTGTTGTTTAGTATTTATATGCTCCTTAGAATGTGTTGATTAGTATTTATATGCTCCTTAGAATGTGTTGATTAGTATTTATATGCTCCTTAGAATGTGTTGTTTAGTATTTATATGCTCCTTAGAATGTGTTGTTTAGTATTTATATGCTCCTTAGAATGTGTTGTTTAGTATTTATATGCTCCTTAAGTCCATATCATTTATAAATCATTTTGTCATACATTGGCCCCCCAGTGGCACAGTGGTGTGTCTGCGGACTTACAACGCTAGAAACCGGGTTTCGATACCCGTGGTGGGCAAAGCACAGATAACCTATTGTGTAGATTTGTGCTTAACTTCAAACAAACCAAAGAAGTCATACATTGTCATACATGCTCTATATATGCTGTCATTTTTACGGAAGATGGCAACACTATTTCAGTTATACGTGACTAAAATTTGCTAACTAAAGTTAAAATGCTTTATTATTGGAGCATAACAAATTAAACGACACTGAATAAATAGTAAAATTCTAGTTTCAGAGTAAAGAAAGAACAAGATATAAAAAAACAAAAACTGTCGTACTTATAGAAAAGTAAACGGTACAAGGTAATATTATAACATATTTTTCAAAGCAGATTAATTCAAAGGACACCTGTATCAGCTTTTGAATGAGCAACGTGCCAGAGAGTCTATTAACCCTATTTAAGGTTTTCTTTGTTATGCTTAATAATTAACACGTATTTACAAGGCTGATCTTTCATTTACCATATTTAAATACGAAAATATTTTTGGTGAACATACATTTCCCAACAGAAAAATAAAGAGAAAATGAAAAACCTTTATTTATTTATTATAGTTCGACAATAATGTCGTTGTCAAGCTAGTTATACGTGAATGACGAATTTGTTCAGAACGTATATCCAATAGATGCAGCCTGTGGAGCAGCACGCTGTGAAGTAAGACATAATGCATCATGTCTTCCTATCTTTTTGCCTAGCAGAAAACCCTTGCGTGTTAAGAGGACGTACAAAACAAGACTCGTATCTTCTTCTCTACCTGACGAGTGCATTCTATGATGAGTATTGATTGGCTTGAGACTATAGAACAACCTGTCTGGTGTAATGGCTGGGGAGAAGACATTCCCAGCCCAGCTCAGTTTGTGGAACTTAGTACACTACAACGACATTTTCAGCTCGACTTTAACATCATGATCAAAAAGGACGTTTCTCTGTTGAAATACTTATCCAAAAGTAATTGTGAGAATGTAACAAATACCACTGAGAGTAACGTGATCGTAGATCTACGAGTAAACGCAAGGTGTTACTACTTATGAGCAATGGAATAGAAATAGATTTTTGAAAATATTATTACTGCCAAATCTACATCAAATTATATGGATTTTTATAACTGCAAAACAACTTGTTTTCTATCATAATAGAACATAATAGTTATTCGTGACAATAGCATTATGTAGGATAATAGTTAGTATGCCACTTATGGGCTAACATAATTTCTGATGTCTCAAAACAAAAAGCATATATCAGTTCAATAGGAAAAATGGCAGATGCCACGTATATATAATTCATTTACCAGTTATAAGATAACATTGATATATTAGCTCAAATTTCATAAACTTACCTGTTTAAACTTCCAGAAGGATAATTATCTGCCCTACTTAGTTCATCTAATCATTTGAATGTTTTAGAAAGAATGGTAATACGTTAAAATAACTCTGCTAGTTGATGAAACAAACTACTGATTGTTTCATGTATGGATACACGCAATAAGAAAAAAGTTTGGTACTCTTCAGAACTACAAGTTATCAGCTGATGTACCCACGTCTTTTATGTTATCTATCTTTTCTTTGGTTATGACTATAGTTTTTCAGTTAAGCCAATTAAAACTCAGACTTTGCTATGGAAGTACTAGTCATACCATGTCACATTCTTGCATCTCTTTCAGTTCTGAGTGGAGGTGCTAGTACACTGATCCACAAACTGTACTGCCTCGGCACTCTATACTTTTCTTTCGTGCGCGTGCGTCTACCCTCGGGCTGAAATCTGACAATAGTCATGTGCTTTTTCTATGGTACCTTTATATAGTTCCTCATTCAACTCAATTATGAATTTGTTGAAATAACACTATAATTTAAATATTGATTAACTATGAAAAGCAAAGACTTTCTAACGTGTTTCTACAAATTTATACGCCTACAGAAAGAAGGATGAGACATTGGAAGTCGAAAAGAATTATTACTTTATGACACATTTGACATAATTCATAACAACTCAGTTACAGACACTTCGATGGATCATATGAAGAATTTATTTACATACTCTAACGTTATGACACACGGGTTTGAATTCCGAGAATATCCGAATTTATATATAATTTCTCCCATAAACTATTATCCCTAGTAAATAGTCAAATGTAGGAACAATAAGTGAATGTTGAACGAGTGGAGTCGATTTCGTTTTTTCACAGACTGGGTCTTGGAGAGTTTGTCACATGCTTATCGATTTTTCGAATTACTTGTAACAACTCTAGTGGTCACTTTTGAAGAATGACACTATAAGACTCTTTAGAATCTTACTTAACTGAAGAGCTGATCAGAGCTTAACAAAAGTTCTATTACCATTACAGTTTGACTTGTACAAGAGTTCCTTACGCTCCTTTTTTATTGCTGTCTTTATGTTCGAGGTATTTCTAACACACTTGATTTTTTTGTATTTGTATTTATAAGAAAGCTACTAAAGCTATCTACCGCCGTTTCTAATTTTGAACTACTGTTATTATTATTATTCGTTGTTTGGTCTAAAGCAAAAAACTAAACAATGATTCATCTGTGCTATGCTCACGGCAGGTATCGAAACCCGATTTTTAGAGTTATAAAAACAAACTTACCGTTGCACCACTGAAGGGCTTGAACTACTGATTAGAGAGAAGGAAGTCAGTAAGCAGCACCATACAACTCACCATCCACGTTTATATCGCACCCGGTAGCGAATATTTTGCAGTATCTCACAGATCCGAACCTAGCTTACCTGCTCCCAAATCCAGAGCTTTACCATAAGGCCAACCCGCGCTCCTTGCCTTTTCTATCGATATAAATTATTAGTGTTACTTTATTATCAAAAGCAAATTGTTGAAATATGAATAACTATTGGCTATCTGCAGAGATTTGTGGGTATTAAGTTCTGAGACAGCAACACATACCTGAATTTACACGTGTATTCCACAATGCATAGAGTTTCATAAAAGTCAAGTTGACACAAAAATCAGTTGTAGTTAAGATACCATAAGGAAACTGTACACAGCGTGGTCACAAGTAAATAGACACTAATTTTTCGTCATTTAACTGATTTATGCTAACTAATTTGGG